CGTTGAACCAATCGACGACATCTGTTGATGCATTCTTCACCGATTGGATCCCTGTGTGTAATTCCCAGTCTCCGTATAGACCGGCGATAAATGAGAGGCCGCACACCAGTCCCACCAGTCCTATGAACACTTTAAACTCAATCCTAATACCTATGGGAGTGATAATGTAAAGGGTTTGTTAGATTATGTATTGTACTTAAGAATTATCTAATTTATAATGAAATTCAGCAAATATTTAAATATAATTCAATTTAACTATAAAAACTTCAATTTCAATGTCTGATTAGATAAATAAATATTAATAAATTATTTCATATATAGCTATCATTAAAGTGCTCTTATAATAAAAGTAAAGTTCGTCTCAAATGTCTATATTATAGACTCTATAACTTTTGCATAATATAAATCTCTTTTGTTTTGCAATTGCTTTGATTAAAAACGAAATATACTTCCATACACTTAGATTATGATGTAGTATAAAGTATTGTGTTTTGTGCACAATCGTGTTAAGTATTGATTATTAGTATTTGTTACTATTATTTACAGTAAAATACACTTAAAGGTACAACTATTATCAATGATATCCTATTAGAATAAACCAATACACGATTTCATATAAAAATAAATACTTTGAAACCAGGCTTTCAAGTGTATTGTCTGAAAATCTACTGTAGATTAGTTATAACTTATAAGATTTATTAACTCATACTATTAAGTGTTTTTTCAATAACTATCAGTACTGTATGTCTATTAAAATTAGTCTTAATTAGATTTAATGCTAATTCTGTGTGTTCTTAAAATACAAGTCGATTGTGTGTTGAGTATTGCATAATAATATTGAAAATTAATTAATTTTAAGAGCAGGTAATGTGTTGTTGCAGACCATACGTTACATTTATCATTTCGTTAAACTCGTATATAATTACCTAATAGTATAACATGTTTTTGTACAATAACTAAACGAAACTAAAGTAAACTATTTTTTATATCCAAAACAAAATTCTATGATTCAACACACGTTTCCCATAGCATTAACATTTTCATTAAGGTTAAGGTTGAGACCGGCATAAGCCATGCAAATAACAACCCATATAAAACTTTAGAAAAATATGATCATATTGTAATGGATATAAATAAATATAAAAATGTTGTCATACTTTGCTTCTTGCGATCACCAGAACAACAGCAACACATGAAAATGGATGTCAAGAGGTATATGACCAGAACGGCTACAAGAGTGGTGATCGGCCACACGGCGAACATTCCCACACTGATGAGATAGTCCTTTTGATCAGGGTCAAATGTAGTATTCTCCCATTTCTGTAGGTTTAGTGTTCGATGAGTTAACTCGTGAAAGTTTTTGGCGATGTCTACAATATCGTAGTTATTCTCGTAGTTGTCTCCCATTTTGCCACTCTATTTGGTCCGTTTCGATGATCTCTTCGATATTTATTTAAATATTAATAATAATGACTGAAAGATATCACTGGAAAAATATGTGGCAAAACACGCGTACAAAATGCTATACAATGCAATCAATAACACAATCACTTGATATAATCAATGAAGTGTTTAATGAATAAAAAATGTTTTATATTTTTAGTTCAATTGTTATTTTGCACATAAAAAGTGATGAATGGATATAACAAACGGAATACAACTCTCGCTAAATTTTTCAGTAGTTTTTGCCACTATTTGTTGCTATTATTATAAAAATACATATAAAATGCTCTAATAGTTAGATAACAACATGCAATTAATTTATGAGCTATTCATTAAAATGTAAAAATTGTTTTTTATATACAATCGTAGACTAATGCCAACATCAATAAACTATTATATACCCTATTATTTAGTGATTTGAATCTCGCTGTAACCGAAGTAACAGTTTAGTTATTGCCCTGAGAAGTATCGACATATACTTTTGTATACTATATTTCACTCAATACTTTGCAATAATGTATTCAACAGAATATGCAGTATATATAATGTGAACCAATATGTGGTGTATACTATGGTTACGATAGGAGAATGAGATAAAATCATTAGAAATACCTTATATTATATAAAGTGCTATAAAACTGATGGCAAACATACGATGATTTTTTAGTTCGTTAAGTAAATGTCAATTTGAAATATTTTTCAATGTTTTTGTATATGAGTTCCGCTTTAATAATATGCAAGACTTTGACTCTCGGAGTAAAACCTCTGCCGATAGACGTGTTTAGGAGTCATAAAAATGTGTATAAAAAGGCGATTATTATGATTCACATAATTAGCCATAAAATGTGATAACATTTTACAACAACATGACATTGTATTGCACTGTCTCATAAGGATCTGTATATAGGAATAGGGATATTGAATATGGTAGAGAAACATTCTATAGCATTTAGGTAAGATATCAATGATAAATTGAATGCAAACAATGCATTTATTAATGATAATTTGAAAGTCAACTAAAATCACTTTATACTCTAACAAATCAGACAAATGGGAGTTTTGTGACAAGAATTAATCATGATATTTATTTCAATGTTATTTTACCTAAAGTTATAATTGTATAGAGAAATTGTTATGTAATTCAATACATTGATGTAAAACTATTTATTAAATTCTCAATAATATTAATTTGCAAACAATAATAAAGGTATTAAATATCTAAAGTATTACTTTTTAAAATCAAACGTTTTAGAAACAAAAGCCTCTAATCATTAGTCGAATGAATGCTCTAATAGAGAGGACGACAAACTGCCGGTGAGATTGTCAGATAAGGCACAGAATAATAATGCGATTAATTATTATTACCCCATAAACGGAATTAAACATAAAAAGCATGAATTTCTATGAAAAAACAATAAGAAAATTCAATATAAATGACAGAAACAAAAAGATTAAGTCATGAAAAATACAAATAAAAAACACTGCAAAACAATAAATCAGAGCAAATAAAAGTAAGCAATGCCAATTGGTGTAAACAGCAATATTTAGTTGGTAAATATTCACATTGATAAATTAACCATGTTCAACACACGCTTTACAGCGTGCAATGAGTTTAATAACACAGCATATCATATATTAAACACATTATAAATCAAATTCAAAGTTTATTGACAATTGATAAGCGATTGATATATTTATTAAATAAATTTTGATTAAACAAGGAATTTAAAAAAGAGCATAAAATATAATGTATTTTGTCGCCAATATTTTCAATAAAAACAGAATTCTCTATTTATCGCAAACATAAAGTCATTTCCATAATCCTATTAACCGAATATACTTTTGGATTAATGGTTAATAAAAGTTTACAACAATAAAAGTGAAATTAACTTTATTGGCCATCTCAACGGTATCCTTATATAACGTTTATATAATTAATGTACGGACTGTACAAAGAAATTGCATGTGAACTTACCATATGTTCATCAGGGTTTAAATCAGTGATAACATACCAGGATAGTGTACGTAAAGTGCCATGATCATAAAAACTTTATAACTTATTACACTAATTTGTAGTAATAAATAAATAAATGCGTTTTGTATTAATTTGTTAACAAATTGTCATTTTATTTGAAACTCATTTTTTGTCCAAATATTAATAAAAATATTCTCTTCGTATATATTATAAGTAGAGTTTTGTTTTTTCTTGTATTTAAACCTTTTTTACTCTCAAATAAATTAATAATAAAAACAAAATTATAAATTAAATAATAATTCGCTTTCGATTAGACTTTAATTTAATTGTATTCAAACAATGGCTTCGCCGACGACTATTGGATAATCACTTCTCGATTATGGATAACTGGAGAATCTGTTGGAAGAGTTCCTCCTCTTCTTTCATGCGCTTCTCTTCGTCCTCTCTTTCCTGTTGTGATAGTCTTAACGCTAATTCCAGATCATTGGCCATCACATCGTGCGGTGCGCTCTCCACACGACTGGAGGGTATCTGTCCGTTGGGCACAGCGGCGGTCGTCGTCGTCGTATTGGCTGTCACTTCGCTACTAATGGCCTCATTTGATGAGGACTTGTGGTGCGATTCGTTTGAATTGGTGTCCACTCTATTGGCCACTCCTTTCTGATACTCGACTATACTTTCCTGAATTGCTCTAAAATTATAGATAAATGTGTGAATTGTGTAAATACTAGTCATCGCAATGATGTCTACAAAATAAACAAATACTCATTGCTTTCATGCTATAAAACAATTATTATTTCAATTCAACGGACAATTTAAATCATTAAAATTCCAAATATTTGTCATTTACATTAAAAAGCAATCATTTATCCAATAAATAGCATTAATATATAAATAATAAACTAAATATTTTAATGATTTTCTGTCTCATTAACCATTCATTGAATACTTAAATCTAATAATAATAAATACAATATTCTGTTCACTATATAGTCATTAAAAATCATAGACTACTTACAGAATATATTGATTAATGCAAAAAAATAATACTACATAAAAGCGTTGGCATACCGTTGCAAGTCTTGGTCCATATCTGGTTGTTGTGCTTTGAGTGCCTCCCAGAGGGTCACCTGATCTGTTTCTGTTCCCTCTTCCATCAGGAACTGCTCGATGGCGTACTGAACCACATCGTCGTCATCCATATTCATGTGTCTCATTTCTCCCGACCCTTAATACACATAATAAGCCACACATTAATTAAAGCTATTAAACGGTTAACAAAATTAAAACAAATGTTAACTAAACAATTAATAACTAATAAATTGAGAGTTAATTACATTTTGTTTGAATAGCAAATAGAGAGTGAAAAGAGTCTAAATCTCAAGAAATTATTATAATATTCATAATAATGAGAGGAACTGCTAAGACATGGAAAAGGACCGAATTCTAGCCATTGGATGAATGCCTTTCGTATAGCGATTAGTGATACAAAAGGAGAGAAAAAGAGAGAAAAAAACAATTTTCAGAATATATCTTATCGTAAATTGTATGTAAAAATCAATTTGAAAATAAATAAATAATTGTTAAATAATATAACAAATTCTGTTGTGTTTGTGACAAAACAATTACCTATTTTACGATAATTAGCGGGCGGTTCAAAGCAGGACTCGTCCACAACACAGGCACAGGCGCTCTCGTCCCGTATGGGAGTCACTCCGGACACGGGTTCGTCCAATGAAAATATGTTACCAAATGTGATCCGAGCGTTCAGTACGTGAAACAATGGAATCTCTATAGAAATAACCAAAAAACAAAAATTTAATTCAATTTTCATATAAAACAAAAGATTAATTAAAAAAATAGTACCAATTTTGACGGGAAATCCCGACGGAAGCTGTAATGTAATAAAATCACGGAGTTTTGCAAAATGAGAGCTACTGATGGCCATGAGGTCGACTATCGGCAGCACCTGTTCGGGCAATGAAAGCGGATAGTCTTCGCAGAGCCAGAGGTTGGCTTTGAAGCGCTGTATTTTGGTTGACATCTCTTTTGGTCGACCGATATCTTTGCCTTTAAGGTCGTGATTGGAGTCAAAGTATTGGACAGCAGTTATATTGAATCGATTCCTCTGATCAACGGTCTGATCGATACCGGCGTCTGAGTCAAGGGGTGGAGGAGTGGGAGCTTTATCTTCAATCTCAGTCATCCCTAAAAGGGACTGAAG